CTATTACCATTACTACTGAATCGTATAACCACACTTTATTCTGGATAATTTAATAAAAAAAAAAAAAAAAATACAAGTAAAAGTAGGTGAGCCTTGAATATTTTTCAACCAATTTAAAACCTAATCGGACAATAAAGTATCGTCTGATCCCTGATAAAATAATTTACCACGGTTAGGATAGTTTTCTAGATAATCTGGATTTTCTCATATTCTCATATACACACGTACACACACATACACACACATACATACATACATACATACATATATATGTACACACATTTACTAAAATGTGTTTCTTTCACTCTCACGTTTTTCTTTTCTCAACAAGAAACGATATTCAATGGAAGAATATTGTATCGGAAACTAATAAACGTTTGGTTAATATTTTTTTTTTATTTCCTCCCCACCTTCCCCTTTCCATAAATAATATTTATATCCCGTAGAGGAAAAAACAATTTTAAACAACGTCAAATATTCTCATTGATAATATTTGTCGTTTTTACCTTTAAGCTTTCAAAAAACGTTTCTTCTTTTATCGTTTAACAAGCATCCATTCCTATATCCAACATTTGTCTTTCTTTTTTTTTTTTTTTTCGATAGAAGGGATGAAAGTAGAAGAAGAGAAGAAGAAGGCTCTTGTTTTCTTTTTGTAACCGAAGATCTCATTGCCGTTAAGGGATTCGTTTGGATCCCTTTTTCTTTTTTTCTTGATAGCAAATGTGGAAACTACTAGATTCTTCAGAAAAATCTCTAGTTGTCATTCGCTAATCAAAAAATCGATAGAAACACTAGAACAAAAATCTAGTCTTTTCTTGTAACTTGAAGAAAATGAGAATAATTTTCATTGAATTTCATTAACTTTGTAGTCAATTATTCGTGGTATGTGTGTTTGATCTTTTAACACTTTCATTCAAACGGATGAATAAATTGCAATCAACTTTTTGATTCGAGAAATACTTTCAAATCTTTCAAGTATGTAGTAGTTAGTTGATGGCTTTGTGCATTGATCAATTTCTTTTGTTAACCTCGAAACAAGATCGATCATCATTCTTATTCAAAAAAAAAAAAAGAAAAAGAAAAAAAGGAAATAAAAAAAAAGAAAGGGAAGGATGATCAACGATATTTATTCTTCCTCATTCTTGTTATCTAGAAAATAAACGAATAAATCATCGCGGATGATATTTCTCTTTTCTTTTTTACATATATATATATATATATATTTTTTTTTTATACTATTTACCCAAAGCCAGAAAGAAAATATTATTCCAAAAATATCCTTGAACTTTTAGAAACGTGTGTCGCGCGTTAATAAAGAAGAATGATTATGGTTAACTAAAATAATATTCCAATGTAAATGCTATGAAATACAATGGTGAAATAAAATGGTGACATTCGCAGTGCTATTTTAAGAACATTGGTATTATAAATATTTAATTCTTCTTTATATAAGTAAAGTTAATAAAGATGAATAATTATGGTTAACTAAAATAATGTTCGGATGTCATCGCTATGAAATATAATAATAATTCATATTACATATTATGTGTTACCAATTTAAAAAATTTATAAATAGTGTTGCGACATTTGCATTGCTATTTTAAGAACACCGATATTATAAACATTTAATCCTAATAATATTAAAATTTGTATAAATTAATTTATACAAGTTTAACTTGTAATCTTTTTCTACAACATTTTTACCATAGCATAAAATATTTTTCGTTAGAAGAAAACATATTTAAGTTAAGTTAATACAAAAGAATGATTATAATTAACTAAAATAAAATTAGAACGTGAATACTATGAAATACAATAATAATAAATAATAATAATAATAATAATAATAATAATAATAATAATAATAATAATAATAATAATACATATTATGTGTTACCAATGTAAAAATTGATAAATGGTGACGTGACATTTGCATTGGTATTTTAAGAGCACCGATATTATGAATATTTAATCCTTCTTTATACAAGTTTAACTCTCGTAATCTGTTTTTTACATCATTTTTCTCATAGGATACAGAACATGTTTTTGTTGTTGTTTTTGTTAGAAGAAAAAAAATTGTAAGTAAACAAACATAAACACACGGGGTAGACAAGGGTTGCGTGCTATAAGATATATGACAAATAATAAATAGTCGAACAGACAATCGGACAGACGGTGAAATAAAAAGAGTTTAGGGGGATGAAAATAGAAATAGATATAAACGAAAGAATAAATAATGGAAAGAAAGATACGAAAGAAAGAAAGAAAGAAAGAAAGGAAAGAAAGGAAAAAAATAAAATTAAAAAAAAAAGAATGAATGAAAAGTTGAAAACAGTAAATTGTGAGAACCGAGGGTGAATTCATATAAAAGGGAGAAGGAAAGTCAATTTCGTCTAACATTCGTGTCATTTTCCAAGTTTAAAGAATAAAACAAGGACAGATACTAACATAAAAAAGAAGAAAAAGAAGAAGTAATAGTAACAGAAGTTAACAACGATATTTCTCTAAAATGAAATTTGTCTGTATCTGTTTAATACGCCAATTCCCGTTGCAATCACGCACTTACCACTTAAGTGCAATAACGCGGTGTACATTTTATATAATCTTTAGAGATTACATTTTGAATTTAAACTAGATGATAAAACAAAACCAACAAAAATATAAATTTTAATAGAACAATAACTAAAAAAAAAAAAAAAATTATTACATTTTTATTAGTTACGAATTACGTATAATATAAAGTATACAACTTTGTTTCTGCAATTTTATTACAGATGTTGTATAGAAAAAAATTGACGGAAGCAATGTTGTATACTAATTGCGAATTTAAACTAGTAGATGGTAAAACAAAACAATAAAATATAAATTTTAATACAACAATAAAATAAAACAAAATATAATATATGAAACATTTAAATGTACAAATTTGTTTCTACAATTTTATTGCAGACGTTGTATAGAAAAAATTGGCAGAAACAAAGTTGTACAGTAATTTCGAATTTAAATTAGATGATAAAAGAAAACAGAAGTATATAAAAAAAAATATAAATGTACAAATTTGTTTTTACAATTTTATTGCAGACGTTGTATAGAAAAAATTGGCAGAAACAAAGTTGTACAGTAATTTCGAATTTAAATTAGATGATAAAACAAAACAAAACAAAACAAAAAATATAAATTTTAATACAAAAATAGAATAAAACAAAAAAATATAAATTTTAATACAAAAATAACAAAAAAAAAACAAAGAATTGATACATTTTTATTAGTTACGAATTATGAATAATAATAAATGTACAACTTTGTTTCCGCAATTTTATTACAGATGTTGTATAGAAAAAAACTAGTAGAAGCAAAGTTGTACTATTAGATATCCGACATAAATAAAAAGAAAAAATATCATATGATACATAACGATGTGTATCTTCTTCTATCGTAAATCTCAAATATACGAATCCCCTAGTAGTATCCGATCAAATTCTTCTCCTAGTTCTTTTTATTTCTTTTTTTTTTTCACAAGTCAAGATATTTTCAAACTGTATACGCGTCTAAAGGGGAAGAAACCTGAATTGAATGAAAAAAAAAAAAAAAAGAAAAGGAAGAAGGAAAAGTACTATAAAAAAAAGAATGGTAAAAGAAATAAAAAAAAAATAAAAAAGGGGAAAGAAAAAGATAGTTTAAGGAAGGAACCAAGTTCTTATAGATAAAAGATAAAAATCTTTCGTTTAATGTTTGCACTACTATAAGTTCAAAAAAGTGTTTGATAAGCAGTTCCAAAGTATGTTGGATAACACAACGAAAGTAACGAGAAAGAGATAAAACTAGACGACAGAAAATACTATATGTACATATATGTATGTGTATGTATGTAAATATGAGTGCGTGTGCGTTAGCTTGCAACTAAATAAAGTTAAGTAACAAACGTTAAAAGTTTAATCTGACAAAAACATGTGTAAATATAGTACGCACAAAAGAAAACAGAAAAAGAGAGAATAAAAATCGTGGGTGGTTTAGTACGGGGGTGGACGGAAGGAATAAATAAAAAAAAAAGAAAAAAAAAAAAGGGAAACATATGAAATAAAAACGAATTTAGGGAAGAAGAAGAAGAAGAGAAAAAAAAACAGAAAGGGGGATAAATGAAAGAAAAGAAAAGAAAGAAAGGAAAGAAAGTACAACAACAGCAACAACAACAAAAAAAAAAAAAGAAAGAGATAAAAAATATGGTGAGCTTTCGCGAGATAGGGTGAGTAAAAGGAGTGAATAAGAGTGAGTAGGCGAGAGTAGAGAGAGAGAGGGGGAGAATGAATACGAGTGAGAGTGAAACAGGGTAATGTAAAAGGAGAAGAAAAGAAAGAGAGAGAAATAGAGAGACAGAGAGAGAGAGAGAGAGAGAGAGAGAAAGGAAGAGAGAACACAACGCGCAGGCGGCACTCACTGCCAGGGTCACTTCTCGTACTCGTTCCACCAGATCGCATCTGTCCTCCGACGATCCTCTTCTTTGAAAGCTCAGTTCACGAGTGAACGCCGCGTAACCGCGAATTCACCGATCCTATCCTATCATTGTTATTTCCAATATTTTTTATTATAAAGTAATAAAAAAAAAAACAAAAAAACAAAATATAAACAAAAATAACAAAACAAATATAAATATATCTAAATAAATTAAAAAAATAAATAAATGAAATAAAATAATTCGATTTAAAAAAGAATTTTTCTAATATTTTATTATAAAAAAAAACAAAAAATCAAATATAAAAGAAATAAAAAAATAATTAATATAAAAATATATATAATAAATATAAAATTAAATATATATAAATATTAAAAAAATAATAAAACAAATATAAATATCTAGATAAATAAATAAGATAAATAATTTTCGATTAATAATTTGATATAAATAAAAATCGAATAAAATTTGTTCGTTCGGAAAGAAAATAAAACTACGAGAACTAGTAATTTTAATTTCTTTTCTTTTCTTTTCTTTTAATTCTAAAATTTTCCTTCTTTTCCTCTTTTCCTGCCCTCCCCCTCAATTTTTAAACATTTTTTCCTTCCTCACCCCACCTCCCTCTCAATCGTGTTACTTCTTTTCTATTCCATATGATTTCTCGTGCCAAGTGCGTAAGTGAGTCTTGTAATCTAGAAAAAGAATCGTTCAAGAAATAAGAAGTGTAACACGTTTAAAACAACGTCTCTGAAAATAAATCTGTATCGAAGATCCCCTCCCTCCCTCCCTCCCTCCCTCTTCTCACCCTTTTCTGTTTCTCCCTTCACCCTTAAAATTAAAAAGAAACAAAAAATAATAATAATAATAATAAACGTGTATCAATGCGATATATAATGAACAAATGTTATTGGAAAATGTACGGTGGTGATTGGACGAAAAGTGAAAACATTATTTGTTTATGGTGAAGACAATGAAGAGAGAGAGAAAAAGAGAAAGAGAAAGAGAAAGAGAGAGAGAGATAGTTATCAATATAACAACGGTGTATATAAACAAATTAGTTTGATTCTTAACATTCCTTGCCAATTTATCTCAAAGTTTCTCTCATTGCAACATTTCGTGTACTACTACTATTACTCCTATTAATTATGAATAATATATATATATATATGTGTGTACGTATATATAAATGATATATATGTATATGTGTATATAATTGTTATGGTTACATGTGTATGTGTACGTGTTAAAGTTTTGTGAATGAGAAGAGTTCGTAGAGTTTGACCTTGAAAAATAATAATTACGAGCAAAGGAAACATAGAAGTGAAGACGAACAGAAGGATATGTTCTTCTATGTATATATGTATATGTATATGCATTATACATGTATTTTTATTTCTTCGAGATATAATTAACCAGGGTAACGATCTTTAGTACGTGTGATACTCTTTTTATAATTCTATTTTGAATCTTCTAAACTCCTGCTTTTCTTTATTCTCTCGTTCCTCTTTGTATATATATATATATATATATATTTTTTTTTAATTTTATTTATTTATTTTATTTTATTTATAGATGATCAGTCAGTCGAGTTAAGATATTCATCGTGTATAATAAAATAAAATCAAAATTTTTTTCGACGTTACTTATTTAATTTGTAAAATATTCTTTTTATTTAAAAAAAAAAAAAGTAATCATCGCTTTTTAAAATTTTAATTTTAAATTATAATTAATTTGCATTTGAATTTAATCGATGGATTAAAAAATTTGTCGTAAAATTTCATCGATGATTTTAAGAAAGAAAGAACGCGTTTAAATATATTTTTTATTTATTTATTTATTTATTTTATTTATTTTATTTATGTATAGATGATCATCCAGTTATATTAATAATACTATCGCGTATAATAAAATAAAATAAAATAAAAAATCGTCGTTTTTTTTTTATTTATATTTTTATTTTAATATTGAATTTAATTAATTTGTATTTAAATTTAATCGATGGATTAACAAATTTTGTGTAAAATATCATCGATGAATTTAGAAAAGAGAGAGAGAGAGAGAGAACATGGGAGAGGCTATAGTAATACGCATCTGCGAGATTCCTTGATGAGAATTCTACGGAATGAAATTGGTACCTTCTCTTGTCCATTAAATTAAACACAATCGGTTTAAACGTTCTACCACGATTTGTACCAACCTCATTTTGTTCAAAGAGTAAATTTGCTAAATTTGCTAAATTTGCCTTTTCTCACCCTTTTCTGTTTTTGTTTTTGTTTTTTTTTTTAGTTTTCACTGGTAATATTTTTTTTATTTTTTTTGTGTGGAAACAAATAAAAAAAAGTCAGACAAATTTCATGAGTTAAAAATCAGGCCACTAATACACACATACATACACACATACACATACGAATATAATACAGAAAGTACTTACTCTCATACTTTTTGAACATTAGGCTGAAAGCATACCTATTTCAAGGAATAGTGAATATATTTTTATTATAATGAGAGTTCCATTAAGGTACTTGCACTTGCGCATATTTTATTCTATAATTTAAAACCTTTACGAGTATTATTAACAGCTGATTAATAACAATGCAAAAAAAAGAAAACAATAAAATCTCATAATTCCGTATGATCGATTTTTAAAACGACACTCGAATCAAATCGCGTTTTTATTCATCCTGAAAGAATGTTCCAACTGGAGTGAAAATTAAATGAATTTTTTTTTTTCCTACACACGAAAGAGAGAACGAGAGTACATAAATCAAAAAATAATAAATATGTAGTATGCATAAAATATATATATATACATATTGATACAAAAAAAGGAAAAAAAATATTGACTTAAAATTTGCCGATGGCAAATGAAAAACAAACGAACCAAAAAAAAAAACAACATTTGTTTCTTTCTTTTTCTTTCTTTTTTATCATTGACCGAATCGTAAATTTGATGTACTCGTTTAAAATTAACGCAGATCTAAATATATACGGTCGTCCGCATTTCTACACAAAAGTATAAATACAGTTTAACATTTAATAATATCCATTTAACCCTTGTGAGTGCTAAATACTTTTATTTTAAATGTTTTTTTTTTTTTTTGTAGAAACAGAATAATTTATTATTAACTCCGATTTTAATAATAAATTATATTTAATAATATTGAAGTTTTTTTTTCTTTCTGAATATAATTTCATTGAGATTCATATAAATATTAAATTATTTTATATTAATATTAACAAACGCATATATGCGTCCTAAGTAGCACTCATAGGGTTAACTTTCACATTCTTTAAAAAACGTCATATATTTTGCAATTAAACAAAAATTACCAATTTATTATTCATAACGTTTAATCTTTAATTAAGTGTTATTAATTACGCGAGTAGAACGAACACACGTTTAGTATTTAAATAAAAATTGTAATTATTATTGCTAAGTTAAATTCATGGAAGATTATTTTTCAAGGTAAATTATGAAAGAATAAAAAAAGGAAAAAGAAAAAGAAAATAAATCATTTTAAAATCTATGTAAATTAAATTGAATAATAATAAATTCAACTGAGAGAAAGAGAGAGAGAGAGAGAGAGATATTTGTTTCTAACAGAAATTTTCAAAAAGGGTGAAAGTAAATTGGATCAAATTGAAAAGGACTATGGTAACGTTAATGAAAAGATGATTCATGATAGATGGAAATCAATTCAATTGTAACATTCCTAACTCGTGAATTATATTACTACGAGATTTACATTAAGTGGATTAATTCTTGTCTATTACAAGAATTCGATTACTATCGAGTCAGCTTTATTCAATTTGGAAACAACCATTACACTCCTAGAAAGAAAAAAAAAGAAAGAAACAATCCCCTGATCAAAGATTGTTCGAAAAACAGTAAAAAAAAAGAAAAAAAAAGATCAAAGTTACACCCTCGAAGAAAATGTTGCCACATTACGAGTAGGGGAATTCCGTTTTAAGAAACTAATCGAAGTTCCCAAGGAACAAGGTAAACCTTAACTAATACGTTTAAGGAGAAGAAGGATCAAGTAACAAATCTTTTTTTGGGGGAAAAAAATAACAGTGAACCACTTCTAAACGTTTTGACTTGAGGAAAGTGTATTCTTTCATTCTGCTCATCACGATATTATCATCTAATGAGTTTTTTTTTTGTTCATCTAAAAGATTGAGAAAACAAAGATCTTATTCGTTGGTGGGGTTTTTTTTTGTTTGTTTGTTAATTAATGTCAAGGATACATCGAAGAACGATCATCTTTCACAAAGGTGAGATTTTCATTACATTCAAACAATTATTATTACTTTTTATCGAATGTGAATAATAATTTAAATAATATAAGTTCAATAGAAATATAGTTATAATAGAAAACTATATTATTATTTATATATTATATAAAATATTTTATAAATTATAATAATATATTATAAAATTATCTTATCTTCTTATCTTCTTAATATATATATATAATTACGTGTCACGTTGTTTGTTCGTAATGGACTCCTAAACTACTGAACCGATTTTAATCAAATTTTGCACACTGTGTGCAGTTTCATCCAACTTGAAAGATAGGATAGTTTATATCTCAATTCATAATCGCAATATTAATTTATTGCGAATTATTTGTTTATTAACAAAGAGTCATGATTATTTCTGTTAGTTCGATAAGATTCTAACAGATGGTGGTATAAGGTAATTCGTTGATTTAAAAACGTGTGTATCGGACTGATTGTGAGCCACAGCAACCCGTGGCGGGGCACCCCTAGTAAAATATATAATATTATAATAATATTATAAAATTATATTTTATATAATATATAAATAGATAATAGATAATAGAAAACTTTATTATTATTATTTATTATATATATATATTTATTTATTATCGTATATTTAAATGATTATCTTATACAAATTACTGTTTTACAATACATGTATCATTATTATACACCTTTCGTATACATATTCATTTTATTTAAAATGTATTTCAATTTGCTAAAGCAATATATACTCTAATTGGTGACAATTAATCATTCAGTACACGTATTTACATGCCTTTGATGATAGGAAAAAGAGAATTTCCATTTTGATTCGTTGCATGACGTCAATGACGATGCTTGATTTACCAAATAGCGTAAAACTTTCTAACTTTCAAACAATATCGATTAACCCAATGTACTTTACTGGTTTTATACTTTTTTTTTTTCTTGTTTGTTTATAAAAAAGCATTATATCATTACATCGTCTTTTTTTTTTCTTTCACAAATAAAAAAAATAAATATTGATAAAACAACTGATGAATGATGAATATGTATGTCAAAATGTAATACTTTGACTTTGTATTATAATACTTTAATATGGGAGTATTATTTGCATCAAAATTTCTATTTATATATATATATATATATAATAGAATTAAATAAGAGTAATTTATATTTGTAACAAATATGTCGTACGAACTTAACATATATTTATTTAAATTAGACAGATATAATATAACATATTTGTAATTAATTAATTTCTATATAATTTAACGTCATTCATATTCAATCGATCTTTGATATTAAAGCGAGTTGATTAAAAAAGAAAATAATTAAATATAAATTGAACAACAAACAAATAAAAACAAAAACAAAAATACGAACAAATCTAATGAAATTTGATTGAATTTCGTCGAATTAATTGTTTCGTACCGGGTACCTTGTATTTGACACACGAAAACGAACTATTATAAAAAGAAAGGTTGTCTCGTTTAAACCCAGTCAAATGATATTGCATATTGTAAAACTTTTCAAAATCAAAGCTCAAAAAAGATAATAAAGAGAATAATATTAAAGTGGAACACGGAACTTCTTGCAACTTTTATTTCATTTTCTTGTTAAACTTTTGAACAAATGAGAAAGAATAAATTTACCATTAGACACGCTTTCGTTATTATTTATTAATATGATAGATGAATAATAAGGAAACTTCAAAGAAACAAAATTAAAAAAAAAGAAAAAAAAAAACAAAGATTTAGAAATAAATGATTGGAAAATATAAAATAAAACATTGAAAATAATTTATCTTGTTTTTATTCCGAACTGCATATTTAAATAAGAACGTCGTATTAATTTTTATATTTATTTATGGTGTAGCATATTTTGCATATAAATTATTTATTTTATTAATTTATTCGAAATTATTCAATTACTTTTTATACATTTTTTTTTTCTTTGTTTTTTCTTCTTTACGTTATTTGTCATAAATAAAATTAAAACATTTTTTTTCCCACCCGATATATATATATTATTATTATATTATATTATATATATTATTTATCATATATTATTTATTTATTAGAATTTATTGTATATTATATATATTTATATATTTATTATTATTTTTAAATTTATATATTTTTTTATATTATTATATATATTATTATTATAATTAATATTATTATTATTATATAATAATAATAATTATATTATAATTATACTTAATTAATATTATATATATATATATATATATATATATATATATATATATTATTTTTATTTCCATTTATCGTGTAACATATTTCGTATATAAATTATTTATTATTAATTTTTTTATTCTAAATTATTAAATAACTTTTAATACATTCTTTTCTTGTTTTTTTTTTATTCTTCTTCTTTACATTATTTGTCATAAATAAAATTTAAAAATAAAACACAAAGAAATAGCAACATAATATCGTGAAAAATTTAAAGATTTATTCCTTTTTAATAAAAAAAAAAAAAAAAAAAAAAAATTGCAATATCAGATGCAGTACGCTTAAAATCAATAATTAAATACAACGGGTGGGTAATGTAACGTAAACATATCGTTTTACTATCTTTAATGGAACGTCTAAAACAGTACTGTAAAGTTTAGTCAATCATAAGTTTCCCTCCTTTTGAATGTCTATCTTTTAAACTACCTCATAGCACTAAAGATATTTATCTTCTTTGTCTTTTCTTATTTTTGTTTTTCCTTCTTACCTGTTTTTCACCCTCCAAAAAAAAAAAAAAAATAAAAAATAAAAAATAAAAAAATTCACATAAAACACCACAGGCAAAATAAAATATTATTATCTCACGTAAGATAATAGTATTCTTGAAAAATTCCTTGATTATTCTCAAGATGATGCCACTTGAACAAAAAAAATATATTCCTCGGATTTAACAAAGAACCCAACCCAATCCAACTCAACCCACTCAACCACCAACCCCTTTTTTTTTCTTATGAAACACACGAATAAACCAAGAACTCTGACGCTTTTTGTCGATAAATATCATGAATGGAATCTTATACACGCAAAACTCGTTTATTCTTCTTCTATATACATATATATATTCGCATATATATACATATATATATGAGAAAATATATTTCAGATCCTTGTACGATTTTCTGGGTTCTTCATCTAACCCTCTGATGACTGTAGTTTCTTTTTTTTTTTTGTACCTTTTTTTTTTTGTTATTTCTTTCTCTTGACGATGTAAAGGAAAGAAGAAGAGATAAAGAAAAAAATTCTTCTGAATATAAATTGTCACGTAAACATTGGCAGTTGTTGGTGAATATAAGGTAAAGAGCCAAGGGTTATCGTAGAAGGATCAAATATAACGACTGGATACGCCATTCATGGTGAAAGCTCTTTGTGAAAGCTTCTTGCAAAAGATCATTTCTGCATATACCTATATATTAACATATATTATGTATTCTATGCATATATATATGTATTATATGTTACTCGTTGATATGTATTATTCAATGAAATAATTCAACTTAATAAATGAAATCATTTAAATGAAATAATATTAAGAAAAAAACTTGTATAATTGTTTTATGAATTGAAGAAAATAAATGAAATCATTTAAATGAAATAATATAAAGAGAGAAAAAAATTGTATAATTGTATTATGAATTCAAGATAATAAATAACATAATTTAAATGAAATAATACGAAGAAAAAATTATATAATTGTTTTTTTATAACTTAAAGATAATAAATTTAATAATTTAAATGAAATAATATAAAGAGAGAAAAAAATTGTATAATGTATTACTTTAAAATTGTTTTCTTTAAATAACTAATTGTAAGAATAATATCTCACGAAAGATTATTAATTAATATATGAAATTGAATTTATATTTAAAGTATGAATTTTCTATCTCTGCCACACAATGCTCGTAATTAATCGTTCTTATCATTTTTGTACTTGAAAAAGAAAAAGAAAAAGAAAAACAAAATAGAAAATTAATATTCTCTGTAAATCGTGTTATTTTATCGGATCCAATCTACGAATGAAATTTCAATTTTCTATAACTTTAATTATTCGACTCTCGTGAATTTGTATTTTATTTTATTTATTTTTTTTTTTATAATTATTTAATTAAAATATGTATTTTATTTTAATCCTGTTTTATTTTATACATTTAATCGGTCGGTATAATTGTTTCATGATTTAACTAATCATTTTGTGAATTATTTTCATTTAAAGTATTAATAGTAACATATATGTTGTATATATATATATATATGTAGATATAAATGAGTTTTTTAATATTAAATTACAAAATTATTATATATATATATATTATTATTTATTATTATATCATGATTTAACTAATCACATTTTGTGTATTATTTATAAATTTTAATTTAAAGTTTTAACAGTAACATATATATATATATATATATTTATATTATTGTTATTTTATTTTATAATACAATATTATTTTAGTATTATAAATTCATATTATAATATAAATATATATTATATAATATAAATATAATTATATAATATTTATTATAATAAATAAAATATTATTGATTATACATATACAATGTATAATCTACATTATAAATAAATATATATATATATATATATATATATAGATATAAATGAGTTTTGTAATATAAAATTTAAAACAATTATTATTTTATTATACGATTTAAAAAAAGTTAATCACACACAATAAATTTGATTATTTTAAATAAACATATATATTATAACTATACGATACATTTCACAACTCGTTATAGAAAAATATGTCAAAAAGAAGAAAACAGTTATACGAAAGAGAAATAGATAAACAAAAATAATAATAATAAAAAAAAAAACGAGGAAATTCGTAGAAAGTTACGAGCTCGATTTGGATATCGGATACGCGAATAGAACGAAAACAACAGGACGAAACTTCTACGATTGAAATTCGGAACAAAATAGAAGAACTAAACACAAAACCGTCCTGTAGTTTG